GAACGAAGCCTTCCGCCCGATCTTAGATAACTGCGTCATTGTATACCTAGACGACATCCTGATTTATAGCCCTGACAGAGCACAACATGTCAGAATATTGTTCTTATGTTCTAGCCTGTAGTGGGGTGCTCTATAACGAGTACAACCCTTCTAGGGTTTGCTATTTGTATCCCCATTTCTGCTAGTTCACTCCTCTTTCTTTCTTCAAACTTTGTCATGCTATCAGAGCAGGTCGATCCCCTTGGATCGATCCTGTGGGTGGGTTACCACCTCGCTTCCGCTGCTACTTTTTCCTCCCGCCGTGCGCCCCGAGGCGCGCGGCGGTTTTCTGCCCGCCGTGCGCCCCGAGGCGCGCGGCGGTTTTCTGCCCGCCGTGCGCCCCGAGGCGCGCGGCGGTTCTTTGCCCGCTGTGCGCCCCGAGGCGCGCGGCGGGCTTCTGCCCTGCGTCACGGCCCAGCCCCTCGAAGCGGCCCCGACCGTCGCGGCCCCGCCCCTCGACGCGGCCCCGCCCTACGTCGCGGCCCCGCCCTGCGTCGCGGCCCCGCCCCTCGAAGCGGCCCCGCCCTATGTCACGGCCCCGCCCCGACCGTCGCGGCCCCGCCCCTCGACGCGGCCCCGCCCTACGTCGCGGCCCCGCCTTGCGTCGCGGCCCCGCCCCTCGAAGCGGCCCCGCCCTACGTCGCGGCCCCGCCCCTCGTCGCTGCCCCGCCCCGACCGTCGCGGTCCCGCCCCTTGTCGCGGCCCCGCCCTCCAACCAGGCCCGTGGTGGGCCCCTTTCACCACACCGCCCCCCCCCCCCCCCCCCCCCCCCCCCCTTCCCCCTGCCATTTCCCGTCGTCCGTCGAGGCGACCTGAGGGGGCCGCGAGCTGTGGGGTGGCGGGTATGGGGGTGGCCGGTGTGCCTTCCTCCCTTGCTCCTCCTCCTCCTTCGTCTCCCACTGCTGCAGCTGTCGCTGAGGGGGGTGGTTGTGTGGGAGACTGGGGTTTAGGGTTTAAGGGGGGGTGCGTGGGAGTAGAGCTAGCGGTGTAGCAGTGGGTGTGTATCAGGGGGGTGGGACTGTTTGCGGGAGGTTGAGCGGAGGCTGCCGGCTTGTCGTCCGCAGCACCTGTAGTCCGGGGCGCTGTCCCGGTAGCCCAGTCGTAGCCAGCTGTGCCAGCCGCCCGTGGGTCCGTTGCCCGTCCGCCGCTATTTGAGCCGTGGGGCCTGTTACTCCTGTAGTCCGGGCGCTGTCCGGTAGCCGCTGTGCCAGTCTGCCTCCTGTTGCCCGTGTGTCTGCAGCTTCAGCCGTCGCCTCCTGTCTCCTCTCCCCTCACTCTCCCTCCTCCTCCTCACTTGCCCGTTGTGACTACCACTAGCTTTGCTTATAATTGTGAACTCTAAACTATTTCTTCTTGAACTTGTGCTCAGAATGTGTGGTGACATTGTGATCCACCCTGAGCTTGTTTTGCTTTGCCTGCTCTGCTGATTACACCCCACTTTGGCTATGGGGGTGTGTCAGAATATTGTTCTTATGTTCTAGCCTGTAGTGGGGTGCTCTATAGCGAGTACAACCCTTCTAGGGTTTGCTATTTGTATCCCCATTTCTGCTAGTTCACTCCTTTTCTTTCTTCTAATTTTGTCACAACACTTATCGGAAATCGAAGCAGTTTTTAAGATACTGAGTTAGAACCGCCTACTAACAAAAGCGTCTAAGTGTGAGTTCTTACAGGACCGACTGGAGTTTTTGGGACACATTATTTCAGCTGCAGGAGTGGAAATAGACCCGAAAACGATTGCGACGATTCAAGCGTGGCACACACCGACCAACTTGACCGAGTTGCAGAGTTTTCTTGGGGTTCGTCAACTACGTGCCTCGGTTCGTCCCCGACATGGCGAAGCTGACTGCCCCGTTGACTGACCTGCTGAGGAAGGGGGTTAAGTACACGTGGGGGGGGGAAAGAGCAAGGTGCCTTCTCTTCCCTCAAAACTATTTTGTGCTCACCGCCCGTACTTCATATCGCGGATCCGCACCGGCCGTTCAAACTCGTCACTGATGCTAGCGACATCGCTGTGGGAGCAGTACTATAGCAAGATTTCGGGAACGACCTTCAGCCAGTCGCGTACAAGTCCTGCAAGCTTCACCCGCCCAAACGCAACTACCCGATACACGACCGCGAGATGCTGGCGATCGTGCATGCGTTCAAGGTGTGGCGATGTTACCTCATGGGAGCAGACGTGACAGTACGGACAGACCACCGCCCTACAGTACCTCCGTGCCCCACCGAATCTCAACCCACGAAAGATCCGCTGGTTGGACTATCTGGAGTCCAACTTCGACTACACGGTCACGTACAAAAAAGGCGCATCCAGCATCGCCGACGCACTCATACGCCCCACCGCCCAACTCCACGCCATCCTACTCGCCCAGACCAGCCCACTATTAACAGGCCTATTCACCCACGGATACAGTACTGACCCATTTTTCACGACCGGAAATTCACAGCAACTGGCAGAGGCCAGAGGAGTCCATTACGTAAAAACAGGCACCAACCGCATCTGGGTACCCGCATATTCACTACTGAGGGAACTGTTACTGCAGGAGACACACGACGGGATTGTCAGAATCCCAACCACTAGACCATTGGGATAAAAGGGATTGTTTTAGTAGCCGGTCAGTGCGCCCATAAACCCCCAGGCAAACGCGCCTGTAACCCTCTCCAGGATCAATCGGGCATCCATAGTGCAGATCTACTGACACCCTCCCACACTGGGAGGCCCAGGACTAAGCACAACGGCAACGACCTACATGTGCATACACCGGGAATCAAACCCGAGACCGCTCTGATACCATGTCAGAATCCCAACCACTAGACCATTGGGATAAAATGGCTTGTTTCAGTAGCGGGTCAGTGCGCCCATAACCCCCCAGGCAAACTCGCCTGTAACCCTCTCCAGGATCAATCGGGCATCTACAGTGCAGATCTACTGACAGGGATTACCTCGGGACATTTCGGGGTAGAAAAAACGCGACAGCAACTGCATCGGTATTACTACTGGTCGGAGCTGTTGACCGACGTACAGCACCACGTGGGCTCGTGTCCTACGTGTCAGGTGATGAAGAGCTCGCGAAAAAGAAAGGCAGGTCAGTTGCAGCCGATTCCACCGCCTGAGCGCGCCTGGCAGCAAGTTACCATGGATTTTGTCACAAGGTTACCTTCGAACCGTGGGGGTAACGACGCGGTTATGGTCGTCGTTGACAGGTTGACAAAGATGGCACACTTCGCTGCGTGCAAGAAATCGATCTCAGCCGAAGAAACCGCTCGCCTATTCATCGCACCCGTCGTTCGACTGCACGGGATACCAGCTGCGATAATCAGCGACCGTGGCACGAAGTTCACCAGCAACTTCTTGAAGAACCTCTGGGAGCGGTTCGGGACAAGGCTACAGTTCAACTCGTCGTACCACCCTGAGACCGACGCTCAAACGGAGCGAACGAATCAGACGATGGAGCAGTTGATTCGTGCCACGTGCGACGACCCGACCACTTGGGAGCAGCAGCTGCCGCTGATCGAGTTCGCGTACAACAACGCCACGTCAGCGATGACGCAACAGTCCCCCTTCTATCTGATCTACGGGCAAAACCCTACAGTGCCCATGACGCCGAGTCTGGACAACCCAACACCACGCGCACAGCAATTCGCCGAAATTCTGCAGGCTGCCCGTACCAGAGCCGCAGAAGCAATTAAAAAAGCCAACGTCATCGCTAAGCGCAACGCTGACCGCCACCGCCGCCCAGTCTCGTACCAGTTAGGAGATTACGTACTGCTCGACACGCAAAACTTAAGATTGCCCGTCGTACCGAAATTACGACCCCGCTACTGTGGACCATTCCAAATCAGCCACATGATTACCCAAGTAATAGCTCACCTATTGTTGTCGACAGACTGGTACATCAGCCCTTCGTTCCACGTCAGCTTGCTTCGCCCATACATCCCAACCACAAGCCAACTGCCTTGCCACCGCCCGCCATCCATGACTGGCCCTGCATCGGAGCCGATCATCGAGGCCGAAAAAATCTTGAGCCATCGGATTCGACACCCCACGGGAATCAGGAGGATTGAATTCCTCGTTCGCTGGAAGGATCGCACGCCAACCGAGGACAGCTGGGTGCCCCTGGCCAACATCGATAACCACCTTGCCCTGCAAGTGTACCTGAGGAGTCGGGGCTTCCGCGATATACACGCACTCGCATAGCGGAGGGGGCTTCTTGAGGGGGGGGGGGGGATAGTGTAAGGAATTTTCTTGATATTCCTTAGCGCACCCTGCAGCATCGCGTACAACAGCAGCCGTTGTTCGCCCGTTACTACTAACGGGGCTTCGCCGACTTCGCGCGCACTGTTTCACCAAACCTCGCACTGCTGGCCTGGCCGTGTCGGTCTACGCTTCGGGACTAGCCCGAGCCTCGCTTCCAGCGTAGCACTAGCTAGCTCGCACGCACCGCGTTACCGTTTACATGTTTCGCGTATAAATGTTCGCTCACATTTTGTACTCGTTTGACACCTTAGTGCAATTCTTGCTACTTAGATTTATTGCACCCGTAACAGGTATAAAACCGAGATGCAAAATAGTGAACCCAAACCCAACTTGAAAGGGCGCAGGGACGAGTTTGCCGGGCGAAACAAAGTTTAGACGGACTGAGAAGTTTGTACCGTTTCAAACGCTGCGGACGTGCAAATCGAACACCTTTGATTGGTTCCCGCCAAAATTGAGACATTTTCCTGATGTGTGGCGCCGCACTTCTCATTGCTAAGCCCGCACGACAATTGCACAGGCGATCGTTTCAGTCTGTCCAAGCGATTTGGGCCCAACTGATGTTTCAAGTTGGGATGGGGTGAACTACTACCAATTTTGCGTCGTAAGTTTTAAGTAGCTAGGCTAGGCATAGGCTATGTCTCAACTTAGGCCCTCGTTATCTACACATGTATTAATCAAAATGTCCGTCGTGTTGTATCTGAAAGCTATGAGTGTAAGCTTTTCAGTCTGTCCCTTTGCGCCCGCGTTTTTCCGTCCCGTCGCCCACGCGATCTCCTCTCGCCTCCCTTACCCACGCGATTGTTGCCGCCCTTCCGTGGCTCGTCCCGCTGCCTTCTCATCGCCCATCCCACCGTCCATCCCGTCGCCCATACCATCGCCCATCTCGTCGCCCATCCCGTCGCCCATCCCGTCGTCGATCCCGTCGCCCATCCCGTCGCCCCTCCCTCCGCCCTTCCTATCTCCCCTCGCCTATCCTCTCCCCCGTCGCCCTTTCTCTCCCCCGTTGCCCTTTCTCTCCCCCGTCGCCCTTTCTCTCTCCCGTCGCCCTTTCTCTGTCACGTCGCCCTTTTTCTCTCCCGTCGCCCTTGCTCTCTCCCGTCGCCCTTTCTCTGTCACGTCGCCCTTTCTCTTTCTTGTTGCCCTCCCTCCCGTCGCCCTTTATCTCTCCCGTCGCCGATCCTCTCTCCCGTCGCCCTTCCTTTCTCCCGTCGCCTATCCTCTCTCCCGTCGCCCTTTATCTCTCCCGTCGCCTATCCTCTCTCCCTCGAAACAGTCATCGCCCTTCCTCTCTCCCCTCCCGTCACCCACCTCGGTGCCCTGGCGCTCGCCCCGAAATGCCTGCCCGTCGCCCTTCGTTTCTCCCCTCCCATCACCCATCTCGGCACCTTCGCGCTCGCCCCGAAATGCCTGCAAGTCACCCTTCCTTTCTCCCCTCCCATCTCCCCACACCCTACCATTCCACAATTTTCGCTCAATCAGCTCTCTACGTGCGTTGTCGTTTCCTTCTCGTTCTTCCTTTTTTTATTCCTAACATAAAACCTCTCTGTTTTTTATGCATTTCTGCTTTTCCTACGCTGTTTGTGCCGCTCCAGCAGGTCCATGTCTGAGGCGTTCGTTGTGCGTGAATTGCACACGCAAAAACTGTTGAAATTGGCCCCCTCGTGTAATCGGGAATCGCACGTCGCATTTGCACATGCTTGCGACATTTTTTGTGAAAATCACTGTGAAGACTTGAACGCGTCTGAAAAACAAAACAGAACAACGCTTCAACCGTCAAAAGCATTAAAAAGTTAGTTTGAGATTTCTAGTGGAACCACTAGAAGGGGGGGGATTCACTATTTTAGCTGCTGGCTTTAAGGGCTAGAGACTTCTAAGATGAACAGATCAGATACGAACAAACAGAACAGTAATAATGATGGGATGTATCTGAATTGCCTTGCAAGCTTGTCTGCATTGGCATCTGCCTGACAATCATCCACCATATATCGGTACGATATTCTCTCCTCCCTTGAACCTAACAGCTGCAAACCTGGTTTCAGCCACAGTTTATTCTACGGTATGTTGCTTCCCTTGTTTTACTGCTTTGTTTGGCAATTCTCTAGGACTTGATCGTTACTGCTACCATGCATTTTATAAAACCAGAAGTTCTATTTCCATTATGCCAAAAAAAACTCTTTACAACACAGCCTTCTGCCCAAGGCAAAGGACGTGAATGTGTCTTGTCGACCAACAAGACACTTAGGGGAATGCACCCATTCCAGCAAGGAATAACAGCCATCCCAATCCTCCCAAATCAGCCCATCCACACACCATACACGACGCGGGGAAGGAAGAACTGGGACTCCCAGCCTGGGGACTGGGATGACGGCAGAGTGAGGGAGAGAAGCGTGAGTTTGCGTCATCAGCTACTGCTGGGGGGCTGGTTGGTCCGGGAAGGAGAGGCGCTTCATGTGCTTCTCATGGGGGTACTTGAGCTGGGTGGCGAGCCCTGCAGCCTCGAGCAGCTTGATGGTGTACCACGTCATGTCCACCTGGTGATTCTCCAGCCCATGCCGGCACGAGTACTGGAACGCGTGGTGGTTGTTGTGCCACCCCTCGCCAAACGCCAGCAGCCCCACCCACCTGTCGTGCAGGGAATAGGAGGGATAGGAGGGAAGGAAGAGAGAGCCAACGGGACGTTAGGGGGAAGAGAGCAATGTGACGTTTCCATGTAGACAGACTCGAGTGCTAACTAGAACCAGGAGCATGTGCCATCCAAGCTGGGTAACACAACTCCCTCGGAGTCCTGCTGAATCTTACCACCCCCCAGACCCGCTCACCCAGATCCGACTAAAGGCTAGCCAACAGGCTAAGTGCTGAAGGCGTGAGCACACTCTGCTGCACATGCTCTTGCATCTGCCACAATAGAGACACTTGACACACAGTCTTGACCCACTGATCGACTGAGCTGAAGCTTAAGGTGCATAGGCCTCAGCTCACTTAACTGCCTTCCCAACAAGCCCTTAACGAATCTTCACAGGCCATATTGACTGTAGGTTGGGGGGAGGGAGTTATTAAAGAGACATTGCAAGGCCTACCAGTTGTTTCGCGAAAGGTCGCCAGTGTTCCAGGATTGGTAGCCCCACACGTGCGACGCGGAGTTGACGAACCATGTGATGTGGTACACCCACACAGCGCGCACGCCCTGAGAGAGACAGACGTGGACAACAAAAGGAGAATAATACAACCGTTATAGCAACGAAATTTCGACCATTAGTTGCCTTTCGAAGACCTGATAAAGGACTGAAGAGAACCCGAGGAAGAAAGGATGAATCAAAGCTGCAAAAAAATTGAAGGACAGTTACTAACCCCATACGACCCAAAGGATGAGCCAAGGTTGCACAAAGACTCGACTCGAAGGACAAGGCCAGCTCGCAAAAGATGCACGGAGCACTTACGAAGCCCCAGACGACCCAGGGGAAGCCTCCGAGGGCGTAGAGCAGCAGCACGGACGCCACGATGTGCCACACGTAGGTGGCCTCGATGAAGTTGTAGAAGGGATCGTTCTCCATGTCCGCGATGTTGTTGCGCACACCCACCTGGAGTTTCACGTGGTGCAGTACGGTACAGTGCAGAAAAAAAAAACACACGGTAAGGAGTCGCCCCTCACTCTACACATGTTTTTCTTTTTACATCCTGCTACATTTGACGTCCATTTTCCGTTCCAGGTTCAACTGCTTCCAATTTTAAGGTGCGATGTTACGCAAAGGTGAGCTACGCGACAGGGCACACTTAAGAATAATCATACCCGTTCTTGCGTGGCGACGTCGTCGAGAAGCCACCCCATGTGGCTGTGCCAGAAGCCCTCGTACGGCGTGTGCGGGTCGGCAGGCGTGTCGCAGAAGCGATGGTGATAGCGGTGAGCGCTCACCCACTCCTTGGGGTCGCCCTGCGGGAAGCAACGTGAGACACAAACAGGACGGGGTTCGGACGCCGGACGAGGGACGGTAAGGAAGAGAATGATTGTGGAAATGCAAGGTTTCCACAGGAGCGTCACAGGAGAATTGGATAAAAGTAACGCGAACACGACTGAGTGAAAGGGACGAACAACGCGCGAAGACAAAGATCAGTGAGCGAAGAGTGAGCAGCGACGTCGTACCTGAACAGCTTGAACCCCGCAGTACGCGAAGGTGTACTCGAGCCACTTGGGAAGCGTGAAAGAACGATGCGACAAATTGCGGTGGTATGACAGCGTGATCCCAAACATTCCTGGATAGTAATAAGAGGACCAAACAAGTTGTAAGGAAAGTCAGCCTCAACGCTAGATGAACAATTGCTAAGTCACGGTTGCGGAGATGTAAAAAAGCGAGGAGAAAACAGTCTGCAAGCGAAGAAACAACGCACCTGTGATCACGTAAAGGCCGACGAAGAGGCCAACGTTTTCCCAGGAGAAGGTGGCTGGAGCGAAGAGGCACAAGCCATGGACGAAGAGCATGTACACCGCGTAGCTGATGTCCTTCGACGTGTACTCCCGGTTGAAGAAGTACGGCCGCTTCCGTTGCGCGATCACGTCCGAGAACCACACTTGCGCCGCTTCGAACGGAGATGGCTCTGGAGCTGATTGCTTGGGAGGAGCCTCCACGGCGCACGAGATTTGTCGTCTTTGTGACTGCAGGCCGACGGTCGGAGCCGCAGTGGGTTTGAAGGATCGGATGAATGGAGTGGCTAGGGCCGGCAATCTGGGGGAGGCTCGCAGTTTTGACGACGCGAGGGGTGCGAGGGCTCTGGCTCCCGCAGCGGCGCGCGCGGGAATTCTCTGGATCTCCGACCCTCGGGTTAGGAAGACCCCTGACGGGAGGACGGCCGCCGAAGTGGTCGCCATGGTTACGCCTTCTGTGTGGCTTATCGGGGAAGAACAGCCCGAATTCCGAAGGGCTTTCTACACAAGGGAGTGGTTTGAGACCTTAGACTCGGATCCACACAGGAAGGTAGAAAGACCAGCTGTGAACTGATCTCAAAGCTGATCGTTCGAAATGCCTGATCGGAAGGAGGTAATGTATGAGGGGTTCGCCTGCGTCGCTTGTTCTTGCGTGCTGGGGAGCTCGGCTCGGCAGCTTTGGTGCAGTTGCGTGGGTTTGACAGGGGCTGGGTGGGGAGAAGGGATTTGAGACGGGTTTGCGTGCCTCGGGAAGCTCCCCCCAACCTTGGGATTGCCTCCGAACCTGCGGACGAAACACGAGGATGCCCCGCAATCGCATCAGCGACATCTGGCCGTTCACTGAGTTGACGGAAACCGTCGATCACAGCGCAACTTTGCTGGCTCAGCGCGGACCGATGGCGTTGTTATGTGGTTGGTTTGCGGTGGCTGTAAAACTGGTGGTCCAAATCCGTCAGGTTTGACGTGGTTTGCGACATCGAAGGCTTGCTGGATTCACCAGTCAGAATGTAGGTCATGTGGCAAACCTCGATTCGGCGGTGCGAGCAGTCTCTGCCTTGCTGGACGAAAAGGACCTGAGTGAGAAAGATAGCGAGTGTACCTCTCCCACCACCACTATGAATCCGAGATATTTTAAACTACTCCGTGGCTAAAACCTGTTTGATTTGTGAGGCTTGGATTAGGTCGATTTTCTCAGCCCAATAATAGCTTCCCTTTCAGCGTGAGTCGGTCTCCCAAAATCAACAAGGAGCCCCACTGTGCGGAGAAGCGTACAACAATGCAACTCCTTTCCGCGTCTCCTTTCGCTGATCAATCATGTGGAAACCAAGTGCATCCCCTTTTGAATATCACTCACTGTTTTCGTTTTATGCTTACAGATGAAGAATTAACAATTCATACATTGCTGGACAAAAGACACATTTGCCTTTGCTAAAGAGGACCCTCCAAACGCGGATGCCAGTTTGGAAGTGTCGAGGCTCGGCTCGGCGGAACTCCCTTGGCTTGCACAACACAGATATGGGAACATCTATCTGTCGAGACCGAAGCAAGCGAGCAGCCTCACCTCACACACTTGAGTTTCCCACGCAGAGAAGTCTCTTCGGTTCACCAAAGTTTAGCTCTTTCACAAGTCAAGTCATGGCGGTTCGCTTACTCCTTTGACACAGAAACGGCCGATGTCAGGCCTGGGAAAGTCGAGATTCACGCTTTCGTCTTTCTTGGCCGGCAAGTTTTTCCGTTAGGGCTCAATTCGTTGAGTACACTGGTGATCCAGAGGAGTAATTCCCGAAGTTTTTCCACGAATCACGTCATGCCTGCTCCGCTTGTGGCTCGGAAGGCTTCTCAACAAGGGTCAGGACAAACCGGCGGGCGAGGTTCGGAGAAACACCGAGGCGAAGCGACTCCCGTAGTGTCGGCGCAAGGCTCGGGGTTTAAGAAGAAAGTTGGGAGTTTGGAGCAGCCGCATTCAGGCAAGCACCTCCCAGCCAATGGTAGGAAGCCATCTGGACACGAATCTAAGGCTGGGAGCTCATCAGCACCTCCCAACGGTTACGTCAGAAACACCGACTCGCTCGATAAGGCCGTTCCTAGTCACAGCCACCGTTACAGTCACGACGGCGTGAGCGATGTTTCTCTGACTCGCGTAAGGTCCGGCATCGGCGCGCTGTACGCGGGAGGCGAGGGCCTCCCCCGGCGCATCAACTTCCTCCCCGCGCGGCACCCCGACGCGCACTCCGCGCTCCCCGTGGACCTTAAGCCGCTGAATGCGGCCGATCCGAGCCGCGAGCCACGTGGCAGGCAGCCAGTGGTCGGATTGGAGAGCAATGATAGGGGGAAGGGGAAGGAGGGGAAGAGAAAGGGAGAGAAGGAGCGGCGCGAGTCGAGTGAGAGGGAGCCAGACGGATTGGAGGGGCGTCTGGATCGGTCGGATGTGGCTTTGGAATGGCGGCAAATACGGCCCATTGTAAGCAAAACACGCGTGCAGGTCTCGGCTCTCTATGACATGCGCGCCAATGCAGCCCGGTCATGTCACTGTACGCTATGCTGCTCCGTCTTGCACCCAGTCTTGCAGCAATTGAGCAGTCCGTGATTGCAGGATTGGACGATACGCATGCTACCCTGCCCCCGCCACCCACGAACCCCAACCCCGCCAAACATATCCGTCACGCACCCTGTGCGCTGCTGCGCGCAGTGCAGCTATCGCATGGTCTTCGAGATATTGGAGAGGCAGAATATTTTCTTGGTGCGGGGACGACTGCGTGTGTGGTGGGGTGGGTGGCAGGGAGCGGGGTTGAGCAACCTAGGCAACACGTGTTTTATGAACTCCGTCCTGCAGTGCCTCACGTACACGCCGCCCCTCGCCAACTACCTCTCGCAGTCGCCGCACTCCGCCACCTGTGAGTATTTCCCACGCGGCTGGCCTTTCCCGTGCTCATTGTACAATTGCTCGTTCTGCAAGCAAGCCCTTGCGTGTACTCCATTCCATATCTTCTTGATTGACCACCGCTGCTGCCAGACAGCCAGTTTCTGACAGACTGTTGCAACCTTTCGTCTGTCCTGTGCATGGCAGGCAGGGTGGCGGGGTGGTGTGCGCTGTGTGAGATGGAGACGCACGTGCCGAGGGCAGTGGGGGCCACGGGCAAGGTGGTCTCGCCCACAGGCTTTGTGCGCAACGTCAAGAGTACGCCCTGCCCCACCCCCCTCTCCCTGTCGTCCTTCTCTTTCCCTCTCCCCCTCTCGCATTCACCCCCCACACCCTCACCTCACCTCCCCTTTTCCGCCTCATCTCCTTTTGGCCTCTCGTCCCCCTCCTTCTCATCTCCCCTGCCCCTCTCCCCATCACACCTCCTCCTCATTGCCCATTTCCTCCTCATCTCCCGTGTCTCCCACACCCCCCCGCATCCCTTCCCCTATGCACACAGGCGTGGCGCGGTCGTTCAAAGCAGGTAGGCAGGAGGACGCACACGAGTACATGCGTTGCCTGCTAGACGCCCTCCACCGATGCTGCCTCCCGCCCAAACGAGCCTCCGCCTCAGGCTCAGGCGCCGACCCTGCCTTTGCGCCGAGGCTGATGAACACGTTCGTGCACCAGACGTTCGGCGGGTACCTGTGCAGCCAGGTGCAGTGCACTGTGTGCGGGTACTGCTCCCGAACCTACGACCCGTTCCTGGACCTCAGCCTCGAGATTGTCAGAGCTGACTCCGTGACCAAGGCTCTGCATCGGTTTACATCGGAAGAGGCTTTGGATGGGGCGAACAAGTACAAGTGCAGGTGAGAGCCATCAGGCACTCGTGCAGGTCTGGTGAGGGTGTGCTTGCTGGGGTCTGAAGGGGCTGAGCTTGAATTGAAGTGCTACATTGTAAGATGCTTTGGATGGGGCGACCAAGTTCAAATGCAGGTAAAATGTGGCTGCCGGAGCCTGAGGGGGCTGAGCTGGAAGGCGTGAAGTGCCTTCTGTCCATCATCTCACCTCGTTTCCCTCCCTCTCATTCCTTCCTGACGGTGCATGCATCTCAGCGATCAACTCCCTCATTCTCTTCGCTTCTCCATCGCGATCGCCATCCGGTCCCAACTCCCCATCCCGGCAGCAAGTGCAAGAAGAAGGTGCACTCGCTCAAGAGCTTTGCAGTGGAGGAGGCACCCCCTGTGCTGACGGTGCACCTGAAGCGACTAACATTCTCGATCCTTACCCCTGTCCCCTTCCTAACCCCCTCATGTGAGCAGCAAGTGCAAGAAGAAGGTGCGGGCCCTCAAGAGCTTCGCAGTGGAGGAAGCACCCCCCGTGCTGACAGTGCACCTGAAGCGCTTCGCTGCTCTCACAGGGCGCAAGCTGGACAAGCACATCGCCTTCCCCCCCTCCCTCGACCTCTCCCCCTTCATGACCTCCTCCCGCTCCTCCACCAGCAGCACTGGCGGCAGCAGCAGAGGGGATGTGGGTGGGGGTGGAGGTGGGGGTAAGGATAGTAGGGGAGGCAAGTACAGTCTGTACGGGGTGTTGGTGCATGCGGGATGGTCCACCAACTCGGGGCACTATTATTGCTACGTGCGCGGGCCGTCAGGCACGTGGAGTGCCATGGATGATTCGCGAGTGCAGCAGGTGAGTGAGAAGACCGTGCTGCAACAACGCGCCTACCTCCTCTTCTACGTCCGCCAATCCCCTCCGCCTGCTGCTGCTGCTACTGCTGCTCGTCCTGCTTCTATTCCTTCACCTGCTGCTGCTGCTACTGCTGCTAAAACCCCTGCTGCTGCTGCTGCCACGGTGTCAGCTGCTGGGGCTGGTGGTGAGGCGGAGTTGAAAAGGAAGGGCAAGGCAGCAGTGCCGCATGTAGACGCGTTCATGCATGTGCAGGCACAGGCAGAGGCGCAGGAAAAGGAACAGGCCCAGGTGCAGGCACAAGCCCCGGCACAGGCACAGAGCACGGAGAGGGCGGGAGCAGCACAGGGCGAGGGTACAGAAGTGGGCAGTAGTGTTGCACGCGAGGCCAAGGCGAGGGCAGGTGTGAAGGGTGACGGCAAGCAGGGAGTGATGATGGATGCGAGTGGAGGACAAGGGGCGGAGGAGGCTTTGGTAGAGGGGGAGAAATGGGGCGAGAGAGCGGGGCAGGCTGTGCTGGCAGAGGCGTCAAGTGACGAGGAGAGCAGTGAGGAACGGGAGGAGCATGGGGAGGAGGACAGGGAGGTGGACGGGGAGGGAGGGGCAGATGGGCAGGCAGCAGGTAGCGATTCTGACGATGAGAGTGACGACCCCGATTGGACGTTGGGTGCTGAGGGTGGAGAGGATGCGGACAACGATGCTGAGGGCAGTGCGGACCATGTGAGGGGGTCATCGTGGGCGGCAGCAGTGGGGCAGATGCTACGACTGCTGCCTGGCTCCTCCAGGGAGTCGAGAGGCAGCCTCAGGAGCCGCAGCAGCCCTGGCCGTGGCAGCAGGTCGGGAGGGAGCTTAGGCGGCAGCGGGTGGGGCAGGAGCAGTGCCAGCCTGGGCAGTGCTATGGGTAGCAGCAGGGAGAGGATGCTGAGGCTCATGTCTCCACTCGTGCCGCTGCCTTTTTATGGGGGAAGGGTAGAAGCTGGGCGTACGATCAGGGAGAGGGGACGGCGGGTGGAGCTGGTTTTTCCGTTGGGGGGACGCAGGGGGCGAAAGAGGAGGAGAGCGGGTATGGAGGGGTGGGGCCCTGGTGTGGATTGGGAGGGGAGTGGAGGGATAGGGGTGGGAGTGGAAGAGGAGGGAGGAGGGGTGAGGAAGGAGAGGGAGAGAGGAGGGATGAGGGTGGAGGAGAAGGGGGAGAGTGGAAGGAGGGTGGGCAGGGGAGAGGAGGCGAGGGTGGTGGAGGGAGGAGAGAGGAAGGAGGAGGTGAGGAGAAAGCGACAAGAGGTGGATGCGCTACAAGTGATGGACGGGATGGGACTGGAGGAGGGGGAGGTGGATTCAGAGGAGGAGGAGGAAGGGGAGGCGATGATGATGGCAGGGCCGGGGATAGCGGTTCAGAGGGTGGGGTCGTCAGACGATGACTCGGAGGGGTGGAGCAGTGGGAGTGAGAATAAGGACGAGGGTACAGGGGAGAAAGAGAGAGGGAAAGATGAGGGAGACCAGGAGGAGGAGGAGGAGGAGGAGGAGGAGGAGGAGGAGGAGGAGGAGGAGGAGGAGGAGGAGGAGGAGGAGGAGGAGGAGGAGGAGGAGGAGAGCGAGGGAGGAAGGGGTGAACAGGGGACCGGGCAGGGGAATGGTGGTGGCAGTAGGAGCAGGGTGGTGACGTATGGGGGGTCAGACGCGGTGTGGATGATGAGGGAGGGCGCGCAGGAGGCGACTGTTGGGGCAGGCGCGGTGGCGGGCTCCCAGTGGGGCGACGATGGTGAGTGGCAGTGGGGCGACGATGGTGAGTGGCAGTGGGGGAGAGCATTATCGTGTGATGTCGTGCGGTGCAGCTGGGTGTGCTCATGGGAAGACTGGGGCTGTTATCAGGGGCCCTGCTTGTGAGGCACGTGGGATGGTGGGTGTTGTTGGGGCAAGGCCATGGTGGGTGTTGTTGGGGCAAGGCCATGGTGGGTGTTGTTGGGGTAATGCCATGGTGGGTGTTGTTGGGGCAAGGCCATGGTGGGTGTTGTTGGGGCAAGGCCATGGTGGGTGTTGTTGGGGCAAGGCCATGGTGGGTGTTGTTGGGGCAAGGCCATGGTGGGTGTTGTTGGGGCAAGGCCATGGTGGGTGTTGTTGGGGCAAGGCCATGGTGGGTGTTGTTGGGGCAAGGCCATGGTGGGTGTTGTTGGGGCAAGGCCATGGTGGGTGTTGTTGGGGCAAGGCCATGGTGTGGGATCAGGGAGGTTGACTCGCGGTGGGAATCAAGGAACAAAGGAGGAGCGGCAGGATGGGGAACGGGAGGTGAGCGTCTTGGTCTGTGGCAGGTGAAGTTAAGACGCCAGGCGTTTGTGAGTCTGCTGTGTAGTGTGTTCAGCAGCTTGCTCTCTTGCACTTGTTGTGAAGCCTGTTCATCCCTCGTATGTGCCATGCCCCTTTTTCCTTTTCCTGCCCTATCTGGTCTCCTGTGTGTGGATGCAGAAGCCATGGGGGTGAACGGCGGCCACCATCTAGTCGAGAGGCGGCCGGCCAGCAAGTACAGATACGATGAGTGGTGAGTGCCGCCATATCGCCATCCCAGCATCAAGGGCACCGCTTCCCCCTCACTTGCTTCTTCTCCCATATCCGCCCCATCTCCCTCTCCCCCCTTACACACCTCCCTCCACCTGTCCCTTCCTCATCTTACACTCTTCATTCGGTTCCCCCTCGCCACCCTCCTTACCCCCTCCCCACCTCTCCCCACTCCTCCCCACCCGACTGTGCATGGGGCAGGGACGAGGAGCTGGACAGGGGGCGCGTGAAGAAGGTGAAGCGCAAAGCAGATGGTGACGCGCCCGACCCCATGGGAGGGAGGAACAAGAACCCCTTCCAGGAGCTCTCTGCCATGCCTGCTGGTGCTGCTGCTGGGGGTGGTGGTGGTGGGGAGGGAGGGAGGGAGGCGCATGGGAAGAGACTTGGGAGGTGGATGGGGAGGGACAAGGGCAAGCACAACAGCAACCGGCATGTGGCGAAGCTCAGGGGGAAGAAGGCCAGGCCTAGATGGTAGCGTTTTGCTGAGTGTTGCTGATAGATGTCTAGCTATTTACAAATATCAGGCCTGGATGGCAACTGGGTTGGATGGCATGGAAGTTTTGGTGTACACCGGCTGAGTGTACTTGGGTATTTTCGTTCTTACTCAAGGGTACCGTAATCTCCCGGACAAAACACCCCCCCATGATAGTACACCCCCGGGTAGCTTGTGCGGGGTGGGTGCTATGGGCGACCTCGTTTCTACTATACCCCCCTTTTTGGATGATTTTCTATAACACCCCCCTTTTCTTACGGATTCCTATTATAGTTGTTATCGAGTCTGATTCCTTACAGGGGAATATCGCGAGAATTGCTTCCTAAATGAAATTTCGCGCGTACTTGCACTTAGAATCCGCCAACATTTCCCCCTCCCACAATCTCACTGTCGCCACCCTGGCGAATCTTTCGCTGCTAGTGGACATTTCCCCCATCCCACATTCTAGGAAGTTGCCACGCTGGCGAATCTTCCGCTGCAAGTGGCCCGAAAGGTGAAACTCACATTCTTGCCAAAACTCACATTCTCGCCTCAAACTGTGATGTTAAAACGACCATTGAAACACCCAAACTGTCTAATTTGAGAATCCTCTTGCATTAAAATATACCATATATAACCACCCGGGTATTATATAGGATTTTCCGTTGAGAGGACCCCCCCCCTTTTTTCCCTGTGGTTATCATAATACCCCCGGGTGTTATGTCCGGGAGAATACGGTATAGGCAAATTACAGTATATTTCTTTTGTCCTTACCATTTAGGACGCAACGCAACATATATCCCAGGCGCTACCAAGCACTAGACTATCCCTTGTGCCACAGTGTCGAAAAGTTATGCAGTAGTCATTTGCACCACACACACCATTTTTTCCAGTGCACAAGATGCCCAACCCCTGGGCGCGAATTTGCCCTGCCCGCGATGGAAACTCTGCACCTGTGTATGGGTGCCAGCCAGTTGCACCCCATTTACAAGCACCTCGAGCAATACGAACCACAAAAACCGAAGTTTGACAGAAGAGACATGTCAGAATCCCAACCACTAGGCCATAGGGATAAAAGGGCTTGTTTGTTTAGCGGATAAGTGCAGCCATAACCCCCCAGGCCAACATGCCAGTAACCCTTCCCTAGGATCAATCGGGGATCACCAGTGGACCTCTGACAAGACCAACGTCAAATGGTCAACACAGAGTTACAAAATCTTTTAAAAGCCCTTTTTGCTAAGTGCGACTTGACGAAAACTTAGCGAAATGCAAGAATCACTTAAGAGCCCTCTTCACAATGCAACCTTGGGCTAGTCAAACGGGCATCTTGTGTACTTGGAGAGGTGTCAAACATTATATATGTTGTGTTAGTTTAGGCTACAGTGGGTTAGCCTATAGGGGGTACACAATTCTAGGGTTAGGTACTTGTACTCATTTCACTGTTAGTTCATTCATTCCTGTTCAGTTATTCCAACATGGTATAGAGCACGTCCTTCCTAGGACCGAAATTTTCTAAGGGCCCACCACTACGTAACTACCTACCTACCTGTGCCCTAGGACGCCTCGGCGTGTCACGCCCCTAGAGGCCCCTCTTGACGGCCCCGCGCTAGCCCCGTTCAGGCCCCGTCAGCCCCACGCCCGCTCTCCCTAGCGGCCCCGTTCAGGCCCCGTCGGCCCCTTTAAGGCCCCGTTCAGGCCCCGCGCTAGCCCCGTTCAGGCCCCGTCGGCCCCGTTTCAGGCCCCGTCAGCCCCGCGCTAGCCCCTCTCAGGCCCCGTCGGCCCCGCGCTAGCCCCATTCGGGCCCCGATCGGCCCCGCGCTAGACCCGTTCAGGCCCCGTCGGCCCCGTTTCAGGCCCCGTCGGCCCCTTTCAGGCCCCGTCGGCCCCGCACTAGCCCCTTTCAGGCCCCGTCGGCCCCGTGCTAGCCCCGTTCAGGCCCCGTCGGCCCCGTGCTAGCCCCGTTAAGGCCCCGATCGGCCCCGCGCTAGCCCCGTTCAGGCCCCGTCGGCCCCGTTTCAGGCCCCGTCGGCCCCGTTTCAGGCCCCGTCGGCCCCATTTCAGGCCCCGTCGGCCCCGCGCTAGCCCCTTTCAGGCCCCGTCGGCCCCATGCTAGCCCCGCTCAGGCCCCGATCGGCCCCGCGCTCGCCCCTCTAGGGCCCCAACCGGCCCCGTGCCGACCTCTCCGACCCGTGCCCGCCGCTCCTAGAGGCCCCGGGCGGCCCATTCCCGCCACCCCGCGACCGAACCGAGCCGCGTGACCCGAGCCGCGCGACCCGAGCCGCGCGCCCCGAGCCGAGCCGCGCGCCCCGAGCCGAGCCGCGCGACCCAGCCGAACCGCGCGACCCGACCTGAACCGAGCCGCGCCGCCCTGCCCTAACTGGTTCGTCCTACCTGCTTCTCCAACTGCTACTGCTGCTCTTTCTACTGTTCCTATGGCTAGCCCACAGGTTCTCGTTTTCGATGCTGAGGGCCGCCCTGTGAAGTTTGACACCTGGCTCGATGACCTGCACCTCTACCTACAGCTCACAGCCAAGGATGACATCTCACTGTACGATCACGCCCTAGGCCATGTCACTGCCCCTGCTGCTACTGCTGACAGCACTGCTCGCTCATAGTGGCAGACTCGTGATGCCCACGCTCGCTTCGCTATTCGCAACTCCCTGCCGATAGACGAACGCGAGCACTTTAGTCAGCACAAGACTGCACAGGCACTGTACACAGCTGTCGTTGCTCGCTACTCCTCACCTGCCTCTGCCGCACTAGGCCGTCTCTCCCTCCCCTACCTGTTTCCCGACCTGGCCTCCTTTCACACAGTCGCTGACCTCATCACGCACCTCCGTACTAGTGAGGCCCGCTTCCGTACCGCCATGCCTGCTGAGTTCCTTGCCACGCACCCCCCTCCACTCTGGCTCACTCTCTACCACCTAGTCACCCGCCTCCCTGACACACTGCGTGCTGTCAGGGACCACTTCCTAGCTCGTTGCCCCACTGAGCTCACCATTGCCCTCCTCGAGAAGGAGCTACTTGCAGCTGAGACTAGCATAGTCGCTGTAGGTGCCTCTCGTGGCGACCCCCGTACCCCGTTCTTTGAGGGGTGTTCTACTTCCCCCCTCCTTCCCTCTGTCGCCTCTGCTGCTGCCGACCTTCTCGGTGCTGAGAAGGTCGGCGCTGCGCCTGCCTCGAGCGGACGCCGCAACGGCAAGGGCAAAGGGGGCAAGGGTGGTGGCGGTGACGGCGGGGGAGGCGGCGGTGGGGGCGGTGGCGGCAGTGGGGGTGGTGGCTCGGCTGGAGGGGCGAGTGGTAGCGGCGGGGGTGGTGGCGGCAGCGGCGGGGGAGGCGGCAGGAGTGGAGGCGGCGGTTGGGGTGGCGGTGGACGAGGCGGCGGCAGGGGTTGGGGTGGTCGAGGAGGTGGCAGCGGTGGTGGTGGCCGTGGAGGCGCTGGCGGTGGCCAGGGCCAGCAGCACACTCCTTCGCCCCATGAGGTCCGTGAGTGGTACTCTCAGCACGGGGGTGGGGGTGGTCTTAGCTGCACGTACGTCATTCGCACTGGTGACCGCACTGGTCAGCAGTGTGGACGACAGCACGCCACACAGCGCTGCTTCTCTCGTCTCGACGACGCTTGGCGTGTTCAGTTCCCTCAGGCCACTGAGCTGCCCCGCTGGCTTGATCTCCTGAAGAAGGGGATTGATATCTATGCTCTAGACTTTGATGCTATTCTATCTGCCATGTATGTGATGTCTACTAGTGGAGAGGGTGCTGAGTACTTTTGTGTGCCGCCCGACCCGGGCATTAGGGCCAGTGCGTCTGCCGCTACAGGTACTCGCGTGTCGGCTACCCCAGGTGCTGGTGAGGCTACTGCTCTAGGTGCTTGTGTGTCTCCCCCCCTTGGTACTGCGTCGACTGCAGCACTGCACACCTTCACACTGGACTCAGGTGCTTCTCGCTGCTTCTTTCGTGACTGCACTGCCCTTGAGCCACTTGCTCGGCTAGTTGCTGTCTCCCTTGCTGACCCCTCTGGGGGTCCGGTCATTGCGACCTCTTCCACTGTCCTTCCCTGTCCTGCGGTCCCGTCGGGCACACTATCAGGTCTCCACCTCCCCTCATTCTCTACGAACTTGGTGGCAGGATGTGCGCTCCAGGACGGGGGTGTTCACCAGTTCACCCCTGCCTACGAGCGCGTGACACACTGCACGTGTGCTCGTACGGGCCGTCACTTGGCTACCTTCACTCGGAAGCCGGGGTCGGACCTGTACACACTGACTACTGCCTCCCCTCAGGTTGCTGCGTCTGCGTCCGCGTCCGCGTCAGGTCAGCTGTCCGCCCCCTGCTCGTGTCGCTCTCTGGCACACGAGACTGTCCTCTGGCACCACCGCCTTGGCCACCCGTCTGTGCAGCGGCTTCGTGCCATGCACTCCCGGTACCTTGTCTCTGGCCTGCCCAGGGTCCTTCCTGCCCTCCCACCCTCGCCTGCTCCTACCTGTCTCCCCTGTGTCGAGGGACGGCAGCGCGCCGCTCCTCACTCCTCGTTCCCCCCGACGACTGCTCCCTTGCAGACGCTCCACATGGACGTGTGGGGCCCAGCCCGCATCCGTGGTCAGGGTCAGGAGAGGTACTTCCTGATAGTTGTTGACGACTACTCACGCTACACCTCGGTCTTCCCCTTGCGCACCAAGGGTGAGGTCCCTGATGTCTTGATCCCTTGGATCCGCAGAGCCCGTCTCCAGCTCAGCGAGCGTTTTCACTCGGACTTTCCTGTCCTACGCTTGCACTCTGACAGAGGTGGTGAGTTCTCCTCCGACCTCCTGGCAGCCTACTGTGCTGAGCACGGCATTGAGCAGTCGTTCACGCTTCCGGCCTCTCCACAGCAGAATGGGGTTGCGGAGCGCCGCATTGGCCTGGTCATGGAGGTCGCCCGTACCTCCTTGATCCATGCGGCTGCCCCCCACTTTCTGTGGCTGTTTGCAGTCCGGTACGCTGCGCATCAGCTCAACCTCTGGCCCCGT